AGGGTAATAACTTTATTTTAAGATGATTGTAAAATATTTATTTAAATTTTTCGCCACTGTTGTCATCTGTTAACCGATTTATCAAATTTTATGCTGTGCAAGTAATTACTAGAATGAATCTTTGTTCGTTTGGATTTTTATCGAAATAAAAGTTTGATTCTTTATACGACGGTATTTATATGTAATTTTCTTATCCTTATTCTTAGAATTGAAGTAAAATTTTGCTATGAAATTGTGAAGAATACAATTGCAATACGAATATCTCTACAATAGTTGTTCCTCTTAACACAGAATTAATTGTATAATTTAATATATTGTAGACTAAAATTCAAAAACTACAATGATAACTTTTGACATTTTTGAGCATGATGCTTTATTAAGACAACTACAAGATAAAAATCTCTACATATACAGAAATCATAGGAACTACCTAATAAATGTTCTAAATACATGATGCAATCACGATCGCATCCAATTAGCTCATATTATTTATTACACAATTCATATTTGTGTCATATAAGTGATGCAATTAGTAACTGTATATGAAATAATACTGATTGCCCAAGTCTCACCGCGTGGAGATCGCTGCGTATGAAGCCTCCCATATCCACGATCCCATTCGACCCCCTTTTACGCAAAAATTTACTAATTTTATATAAAAACATTTTTAAGCAAGCTCTGCTCTTCATGTAGGGAAGCAGACATCTGTTACGGAGTGACACCGATATACGTTTAATCGCTTCGATTTTCGACACTGAACTGACTGCCAGCGACAAGGTTTACACAATGAATTTTGGTTAACGAGAAATTAAATGCCCCGCAACAAAGTCATTTATTTACGAGTCAGAGTTGTCAAATTCCTAGAAAATCTGTGTTCAAGGATAAATATGTTTTTAATGACGGGAATATCGTCTGATAATATCGTCATAAAATGATGATCAGTAAGCGATTAAATAAACACGTTTTATTTAAATGAAGCAGATAGAAGTGTAGAAAAATGATGATAAGGAAAGCCGAAATAAAAGTACTGATAATGATGAGTTGACGCGAGGCATTCTTGCTCCACAAATTTCATTAGAGGTAGGGATTTTGCAATATTTTGCACCAATAGGAACGCTCGATTTTCCTATGTATGAGCGCGGGCAAATTTAACCTGATCAAATAGACAAATTGATTAAATTGACGAATAAAAAAGATATAATAATATTTAAGATAATATTTATTACTGATTATAATAATATTATGTTCTTAATGGAAAATCGTCATGTGTTATACGAATATCTACATATCAATTATTAAATAAAATATAATGGAAAAAATAAGGTAAAAATTACTAAAATAAATCAAATGTCACCAATTAATTTTGCATCGAATGTCATTGTCTCCATTAATTGTCACAATATTACGCCTCTATTCTTTTAGGATCAGCACAAAACATAACCAAAGATTTAGAATTAATGTATAAAGCTGAACTAAATATGTAAAAATGAAGCAAACTCAAACTCTGCCTTCTATTTTTAGTTTCTGCAATTCTTTCCAAGTTCTTACAGAATATAAAATTCTATACCCCGTTTACGATTGTAGGATATCCTATTCTATAAATATTTTATTTATAATTTGATAGGAGATTTCAATTTTAACTCAAATCTATTGAATCGGCAAGTATATTAAATAGCATGTAGCATACGACACAAAAATGGTAAGGGATCAGGTGATTCCCAAAACATAGGACACAAAAGAACATCACGTGTCATATATATTTGTGATAAAACATTTGTACAGGAGTGTTCGAAATATGCGCTAGAACAGACTTCGACCAAGAGACATCTAACGTACAATCGAAAGATACGTAAAGTAGGTAATCATCAACTTCATCGCTCGTATTTTTATATCGCAAATCTAATTAAACGAGTCTTGTTATAAGTAGTCGCGCACGAACAGTGATCGAAATGACCAGGCTAGAGTACTGGGAATATTAGGCAATTACTTGTCATTTAAAAATGTTTTTGTCAATCGAATCAGCACGAATGTAAACATTAATGTATTGGTAAATATTGATTGACAGAATCGTATAATAACAGAAGTATTTTTGATTAAATTATAAAATGAAGGGTATTTTGATCTTCGATCATTTAAACGACGTTCTTTTTACAAAATGTAATAAAAAATTCGCGAATCATATACAAAAATTAGCGAAAATTCAAGGACTAATTTTCGAAAACAAGGTAGGTCTCTACCAAATTTTGCAAGACTTTATATAGTAATTTAAATATCTCTGCTTTGAAAGTTTTTAAAGTCAAGTATATTTTATACTGTTTCAATTCCACAAATATTTTTCTGGAAAAATAAAACTATATGCTTCCAGATAAATTGCATAATACTAATATATATTATATTTACAAAGATTTTTATATTATATTATATTTACAAAGACACTACAAATTTATGTCTTGTACAGAATATAGACAATGAGGATTCAAAATTAAATCCAAATGTCATAATTCAATTATTCGCACCTATTGTCACATCCCAACATGTAATGGCTTCTCAGTTTGGAAATTCTTACACTTCAATGAGATGTCATGATGGCACAAATATGGTGTTTGATGAATTTATGGGATATACATTCATTTACATATCTACAGATGAAGTAGAATTAATGAAAAGAACATTAGGAGTATGTGTGGCAATTGTGAGGCATGTTTGTGGACCAGATGTTGCAGTGTAAGTTTAAATATCATTTATAAAAAAAATTACTTCAAAAAATGGAAGAGTAATTCTATATAACATTATAATTAATACTAATTATATTAATATATATAATAATTTAATTCCAGATTAAAGATAAACAGACAGAAAGTCTGTTTAGTTTCATGTCTGTTAGATGCATGGGTGCATTTAAGAAACTGTGAGCAAAGTATGCTTACAGAAGCAATAGAACAGCTATCGATAAACACAGACCTGGGTGTATCAATACTAAAAGTGTTGCATGATGCCTGTGACAAATTAAAGGCACAATCTGAATTTTCCAATGTACACATCTTGATACTAGTGGAACAAAAATTTCTTTCATTATACTCCAGTAAAAATGCCCATGATTTGTACGCTTCTGATATATTGCTGATGATGCTTATGTGTTGGGTAGTTAATCAGAGAAGGAAAGGGGATACCCAATCTGCAATAAGTGACAACAATGATGATTGTACTGATATTCTTCTACCTGAAAACAGTTCGTCTAAAGAGGAACAAATAACTTTTGGATCGAAGCTTTCAAATCCTACTTCAGAAGATATTTCAGATTTGTTTAGTATGGTCTTTACTGCTATAAGATGTTTACATAATTTCATTGTTATTATGTACTAATATGTTACTTCGTTATAGGAGGATCAAGAGAATCTTCCATCAATGAAGGACTTTATTTGTCATTGCTGGATGATGATTTATACAGTAATTTAATTTTACTTGGAACCGAACATGATTACACTACTAACGCAGTTCATATTTTTGAATTAGCAGATGGTATCAATCTTATCATGATAGTAGAAGTGGCTAATCTTGCCACATCATCAGGATTGTACGATAGTTTCCATTATATGAATATTATAAATGGTTTGCAACTTCAAAGAGATATTGACGAATTAAGACCCGCATTTGAAAATTTCGACTTAGCAATGAAAAAAGCTTTGGATGGAATTAAGAAAAATAGAGCTAACGTCAGTAATGATGTTGATATGTGTCAAAGAAGACTGCAAACAAAGTGGGAATTTGTCCGAAAAAAATATATGGATCTATTAAGATCTAGAGATCCGGAATCCATTCTTCAAATTGAATCAAATATGTCAGGTTTCATGGATAATTTAAAAGAATTATATCGATTAATGTGTTTCGACAAAAGCTTCTTAAAGCAGGGCGTTGATGTACTTACGACAGTAGGAAAACTCGTTCGTCAAAAGCTGAATGATTTTAGCGATTTCCTTAAAGTAAAAGCACTCAAGAACTTTACTCTTGGATCATATCCTTTCATAATTATATCTTCATATATTTGTATTATCTTTTTATTTTTCCTTATAAGTTAGATAAAAAAAATATACATCCTTAATGCCATATAATCTACGAGAACTTCCCTAACCATCAACAAATATCTAGAAGAGTTTCCAGGCCTTGTGCACTTCATCTACATAGATAGAGTCACCCATAGACTGATTGCTCCAACACTGGATTTCACAAACCCTGAAACTCTTACTCTTACAACAAAAAAGGTAATTTATTAGAAGTTTAAATAAAATTAACGTACATAGAGTAGTTAAGAATTGTTTTTATAGATATGGAACATGGTTAAACAAAGTAGAATTCATTTGGAAGAAGGACATTTATCAGTTATGTGGAAGGATACAACATTTAATTATGCTTACTTCTTGTGGTTCGAAGACAGTTCTGTAAGTAAATAATTTTAAGGCAACAAAACATTGCTACCTTAAATATATTGTTATATAATATTTTCAGGGATCGCCAGTGAAATGTAAAGTTTATTTGAATCATGTGTTGAAAACTTTTCCAGTACCCGGAATATTTTGTGGCGATTATTATAGGTTTGTACTAATGGTACTGAAATATTTGTCTTGTGAATTCTTACTTGACTTATTTTACAATTTCGTAGAAAACTAGCGGAGACGTGTTTCCCTAAACTGTCTCCCAATAAAATCAGAATTTATGAGCTTTATTGTGTTCATCTCGGTTTGGCAACATCGTCGTGTGTATTAGAACATTCAAGAAGACTTGCGGCTACGATATGGGAGGTTACAGGTGTTCCAAATAATCCGGCTGACATACTGTAATAATATTTCTTTAAAATATTTATATACAGATAGAGGTTCTGCGCTTATGCGCGTTACATTACAATTATTATTTAAAAAAAGAGAAATATTTATGGAATTTTTAATTATTTACAAGTACTTAATATATGTATTAATTTGTTATTTATAAAAGATGATGATGCAAAATATTTGTATTTATTTTGTACATCAAATACTTAATGTAATGGCACAATTTAAAAAAATGTACAAAAAAACAACATGTGCTGTATACTTTTTTCTCAATTTCACAATTAATTTAAGAGCATAGAGCATTGCAAATATTTGAGATATATTATTAAAATAGAACAAAAAAGTGGTAATGCGAATGAGAACATTTTTTAAATATAGAACATCCAGAAAAACGCATATTAAAAACTATTCAGTACTTCAGTCTATGATGCCTCTCCACTTTATAATGCACAGATTCGATACTATGAACACGACACAATACCGTTTTATATATCTCTGTAAGATTAAGATTTTCTAGAAATAGACCAGTCTGCATATAATACAAACATGATCAATTCATATTATATTTATATTTTAAAATATATATTTACATTGTGTGTAGCATAAGCGCTCTAAAATCTTGGTTGATTTGTTTTTGTAGAAATTGTTCTACAAATAGAGCGTTATAAAGCTTTTGGGGTGAATTAAAAATAAAGAAACGATTTTTATTTAATGATTATTAGTTGTATCCGATTTACGTACACTGTCTACTTTTTTCTTCGTAATCTGATTGTAAGACATTTGAAGGGAAGTATTTTGCACACTGTTTGCCTCAGATGATTCTGGGCCTGAAGTCCTTCTAGCTTTTTTCAGTCCTATGTAGTCTTGTAGCAATTTACCTCTGCCCCTTCCAAAACCACTTACGTTCGTTTCACCTCTACAGATCGATTCTTTCACGATTTCTGATTCTACATTAGAAAAACGCCTGTTCTTACTTGATACATTTTCTGTGACATTAACTTTTATTTCTGAAACTGAATTTATAGGCGGTGGGTCTTGACTCGGACTGTTCATTATACTTGTGGTCGACCTCTTCGATTTATCTTGATCAACATTTTGTTCAGTACATGTTGTTGAATTCTTCGGTTTATGAGCAGTCATTGTTTTATTCTAAAACAAAGTAATAGTAAATTTGCGAAAATATACAGAAAACAGTTTGGTTGTTACAATATACGTACAGGTGCAGTAGAATGGTCCTTTATTGTACGAGATTCTTGACAAGTATCATCTAAAGGTTCAATTCTGGATGGAGATGTTTTCCCTGATTTCTGTCTTGCGTCCGTAAATTCATCTTTTTCAGACTCATAGGAATCAGTTACATTATTTGAATTACCATTAACTTTTGTCTTTTTGATAAGCATGAATTCCTTAACTTGTCTTTCAAGCTCTGCTACTTCAAGATCAGACTTACATAAGTCTGGTATTAATTGACTCAAATGCTCTTCAGCTGCTTTTTGTATAGTAATAGCAGATTCAACAGCAGACGTCTTGGTTAAGTCCAAACTAAAAATAAATAATTTCAAACGACGATGTGGAATATTTTCCTATGATGCAAAAAATCAAAATGATATTTTTATAAGATCATATTCAAACTTACTTTAAAGAGTCTATAAACTTAGTAAATACATCTGGCATATCAGATGATTTTTTGGTAGGAGTAGGTTTATAATCTGAACCTTCATGTGCAAATGAATTACTTCCTAAGTTACTTATTCGTAAAGGAACTGGTTCAAATGTCCTATAATAATCAAATTATTTATAAAAACAAAACTCTTAAAAAATAGCATTATACAAAAATTATTGTAGTTAGAAAACATACCATTTTTTTTGTCTTAAAAAGACATGTTTAAATTTGTATGTTCCTTTTTCACTACTCGTTGAGGAACTTAATAAACATGTAACAAAAAATTCTTCTTTGCAACCATTTTCATTGGAAAAATATGACGAGAATTCTTTATGCAATAATTTGTCCCTAAATGTAGGTATCAATGCTATATCTCTTCTGAAGTGAAACCAACCTATCACTTGTTTACTCTTATCACGTAAAAAGTCCCTTAACTTTTCCTTATTAATTTTGCCAATAGAGTTGTGTAAGGAATCTGGTAATGGACAAGTTACAACAGCCTCAATATCTAAAAATGTCAAAATATTTTACTATAGGACAAAGAAAAATGTTTACGTCACTGAGATAAAACAGCTATTGAATATACTTACTACTGTATATTTTCACTGTTTCTACTTGATTGTATAAATCTGTGTCCGTTTTCCTAACAAATTCAAGTGTTTCTCCTAGCAAAAAGCCCATCTAGAATACGGAGAATTCAATGTTTTCAATTTCCTCGTTCATTAGCTTAGATTATTTTGAGGTTAAGACGCTATATTTCATAATCTAAATGCGAATCATCATGTTAAATGATAAGGCATTATTGGCGATAATGTAAAAAAACATTTTTTTACCTGGGTCCCACTGCTACGAACATTTTCATAAAACAATAATGATAGAGCGGGACCTGAAATTGTAATGAGAAAATCACTATCCGCCATGTTGACAATTAACTGTTATCCGTTTTGCAATTTTGCTTGCACTTTCTATCGTTACGTTTCCTCGTTATGTCGCATAACATGTGTATCTGTAATAATAATAATAATAATAATTCACGTTATTCGTTTATTGCGATAGCTGAGTTATTGAGATATCACAAATCCAACAAGATTTGATAACAACGATATATCTTACGATCGTCAGTTTACGCGTCGGTATTAAAATAGTCTTACAATGTTTATATTTACTATATGTCACTATCAACTCTGTACTGCAATATTTATATAATTATTGTTTATATGCATAAGTAGGAGTGGAATAATTTATAAGTATCTATAAACACGCTGGAGCAAAGCTTCTAGTTACAAATCACGATCGAAACAGCGGATCATTCGATCAGAATGAACTAAAGATTGAAACAGATGAATCCTATATTTTAGATCTCAAATGTTTCAATTATTCATACATTCATCTATTTTTATCTCATACCTTTGTCAAAAATGAAATTTACACACGTATATATAACATCATATTTTAACATTTCTACGTTAAAAGTAAAATCTATGCATACAATCATGCATATGCGTCATGCTAATACAATTTGCACGTAACCGGAAATTGCAGGAAGCCTCAGACATAACAGGAAAACGAGAATATCAGTTTAAACATCCAATCTTCGAAATAAAAATATCTTTCTCAGTGATTTTTACCTTTTCAACAAACTATTAATTTCCCCCGAATATACATATAATAAAATAATACGTAATATTTAACTTGTAATTTTTTAATTGATTTTATTTTGTCTGAAAAATAAGTAAAAATAAAGCTTTTTTGCCAAATTTGATAACATTTAATCGCGAATGTAGGTGTATAAAAGAGATTTTGTCAGAAGTGGGATTCGAACCCACGCCCACAGAGTGGACTGCGACCTGAACGCAGCGCCTTAGACCGCTCGGCCATCCTGACATTTTTGATTAACTAATTTTAAAATAAAATACTAAACAGTGATAATAATTGTTAAAAATAATCGTCATTTAAAAATGAAAAATTGGCCGATCAAGAACAGTAAATCTATTCGAAGTACTTTTTCTTTTATCACGTTTGTGTTTTTATGTCACCAAATACGATATTTTTTAAAGACGTGATAATTAATGGCGAGACAGGAAACTTTCATGAGATAAACGTTTATAACTCGAATCTATTTTGATTATATCTTATGTCTGAATATTTAAATATAAATTGCCACAACGTTATGCCCTGGGCTTCTTATAAAACTTTATGAATGAATGATTATCTCTATGTTTAAAAATCTTTGGACCTATCTTTTAGTCATTAAGTCGATTAAGTAAGCAAGAAATATAAAATCAACTTTGATTATATATTATTACAACCGAGTTGATTATAAAATTATAAAAGAATGATATCTTTATGAATCGAAAAGCACGTGTAATTCATATTTGTAAAATGTTATCTTGCATTAGTAATCGTAAAATTCTTAATCCATCTCTTTTAATAGTTCATATAATTAACATTCTATCGTTCTATCGTTTATCTAACTATTTCTTGCATCATATACATAAACCGAAAGAAATTCCCTTAGTAAATAATTACGACTTAAAGAGCAAAGGAGCATTCGTTGTCCGTCGAAGTATCGGCGCTCGCTCGCGCGTCCCGCCTCTCCCAAAATACACCCGGTTCGCACGCGAGTCGCTTGTATTTCTAGACGCGATGTAGATTTCGATGTAGGACTCGTGGATCGCGTGATGTAAGTCTTTAGTGATCTCTAAAGAGACGTCGAGATTGCCTCTCTGTTGACTTGGGCTCTCTCTCTCTGTTTCTGTGCCTTTCTTCGACCCATTCTCTTCGAATTTTCAAAGAGGAGGACACAATTTCTTCTTCTCTCGTCCCATTATCATCGTGATCGTGATCGTCGTTGTCGTTGACTTAGTGACGCCGGATCATGACGGAGGAAAAACCGGGTGACCTTAACTGGAGTCAAGAGCAGATCGATCAGAAGGTGAGTTGATTTAGTTCGTCCATCCTGGTTTGTGACCTTGAATTTCTTCCATCGTTGCGTAAGTGGCCGAATACTGCGCGAAAAAGCTCGCTAATTGTACGAGTCGACCGGTAACTTGAACCACCATGGAAAATAAATCGAGGGAATGGGACTTGTTAACCTCTTGAAAAAATTAATAATTCCCTGTAACCGTAATTTTGCTTCCTTCTGCGATTGTTTCAAACTTGACGACAAACAAAATTGTTTCAAATTTGACGACATAAATATAAATGTGAATATCAAGTATAAATAAATGCATGTGAGCTCATATACAGGTTCGCAATGACGAAAGGGTTAAGAAAACCTTCGTTTTCCGTAAAATAGGACGCGGTGACGATTCAATAATTGATCGCGATGCCGAGAATGCCCACGTTTGGAGGCTATCGATTACGAAACAATCGTGTTTTCGCGTCCCTTTTGGCGACCGCGATTATAATCCATTATTATAATACGAACGGATTATAATATAATTATGATCCATTTGCAAACTAGAAATCAACGAAAACTTCCCTTTCGTCCCAATAGAGAGAAATATCTAACTACGAATTCTTCTCTAAAATTAAATAAAAATAAAAAATCTCGTCGCTAGACAAAAATTCCAACTACGATTTCTTTTCGTAAGAAGAGCAGAAATCACAGCTTCCAACTGAATATCATTCGTCATAATGCATTTGGGATCTAAAGTCATCATCCCTAATTCACCCCGTAGGTAGACGGTGCAAGTAACGATGCTATTATATTGGAGACGAGTTCATTGAAAACGATCGCGGCGAGGATGCGGGTCAGTAAGCCGAGATGAAAATTGGCGATGTATCACGCGTGCTCTGTATCGTACATTCTCTAAAAATCACATTCTTAATGATTGCACTAGCGATGTCACATGTGGTGGCCATCAGGGCCTTCGAAATCGATCATCCGTAATTCTTATGACCTCGTGCCACCGTGTCGAAGAACTCCGTTATTTATTCTCTTCTTCTTATACCGTCATCGTCTGCCGTGTATCTATATGTAACGACGCGACATTTAGAAACACTTATACCTACTCTATACCTTATACTCTATTTTCTTTCATCGGATTTTTCCATAACGACTTTATTTCTTTGCATTTGAAATGAACATAAAATATATTCATACACGTATATTTGATTATTTGGTTGGATCTGAAATATTATGACTTCTTCGTTTCAAGAAGATTTAGTGGAAAATGTTGTAGGAATATTCTACGAAAATCATATCTCCGAATAAAAGTATTTTCATGAAATAATCGTGCGTAGCCCCTTACGAACGTCGATCTACCAACTCTCGGTAGTCAATTTTTCCCATCGATCTACGCAACAATTAATCTTCTTCTTAGGCACCTTGCAACCCTAAGCATCGATCAGAACATATCCTCGACTCTTTCGGCGCTACCAGATTCGTTACTGTAATCATGTCCGAACAGAATTTCTAATTTCATCCGTAGACTTATAATGCATTAATTTATCAGAAAGTAAGATTTATCAGAAAATTCATCATAATTATTCGTCATTATGTAGCAAAGTCTAATCCTTTCCATAGATAAACTGAAGAAAAATTCACCAGTTAGGTGTTTGATCATAGAAATCTGTTCAGATCGCGATATCTATGCAATAATTTCAAACTTTCCGAAAAATACGCAATACGCAAATACTTTCCTTCGCAATACGAATTCTACGAAAATGAAAAATTCCATCATCTTCGTTGGTAGAATTGAAGAATGCATGTCGAGGCATTAATCGCAGAAACGCAAGGAAATCGCATTATCCTTGCAACGACATAAAGCTCGGTGAGTAAAATTCAGGGCGAGAATCCGGCATAACGATGACTGTTATTGATCGCACATCCCCCGTTGAAACGTTCGAATTTCGGATGGCGGTGCGCCTTGACCGTGGAAAACTTCCGCTCACGCGCAATGGAGTCCGCACGCGGCCGCCTTTCTTCGCGGACGAAAGAGCCTGGACTACGACGTTGATACGTTATCTGACGCGTTTCCCGATTCTATCCATGTGCCGCGAGACAAGGATCGGCCAACGATTAGTCAAACGTAGATTGCGTCAGGAGGAACAGGTGTCCAACGAGTTTCATCTTGATCGAGAGGTAAAACCGGATCAGTGGGTCAAGGCTGTTGACATGAAGACGAAAAACAGGTCGCTGTTCAGCAGGATGTGCAAGTGCTACGGCAGGAAGTCGGAGTCGCGCGCGCGAGTACACCAGACGGAGGACGAGTCGACCGTGGTACCGAAACTGTCCGACGAGGTAACCATTTCTCGTGTTCCGGGATCTGCAGATTTCGAATAACGTGAATTATGTTGTGCAAACGTACGCGGACTAAATATGTACGTATCTGGATTTTCTTCAGCTTTGGTATTTTATTAGTAACTAGGATAGCAATCGAAACATCGAGACCTCTAACGTAACGTTAGCCTTTGATCGATACATCTGTTGGATATTAGGGGTTCAAGTAGAAAGTTAAATTAGCAAAACCGAAAGTGAAAATGCAGGTGCGCTTATTTCGTTTCACCTTTTGTTCTTTTATCGGAGACGAATCGGGGGAAGTACGATATTCAATACCGTACGTTTTGTCTTTTTCTTTGATCGATGATATAAGGGCTGTTTAAATCGGAAATTGCAATGTTAAGTTAACTGCGTGTCTTTGTTTCGTTTATGTTCGATTATTAATTATTTATACAAGTAGAGAGGGTGCCGCGCAGCTCAGTGTGCAAACTTTGCCAGTGTGTTCAACAAGTAAAAACAAGACAAAAATGTCATGTAACGAAAAGTGCACAAATGTTTGATTAAAACGTTGTAACAAAAGTACGAAAGCTAGATATGCTTATACGAATTTACGATTTGAAACGCCATCCGCCTTTATCAATGCGAAGTTGATATCGCTGTGCCGTTGAATTTATCGTAAACCGAATTTCATGGCGATTTCGTCGCGTTTCTTTTTCGCGCAATCTCGTCTTGTTGAATGATAAGAATAAAAATGAAACGAAAGACCGTAGCGTACGTTTGCCATCGTGCACGAAAACAATAAACGTACGTACGACGTATGCATCAATATATCTCATGAACGTTACGTATTCTGTCTTATATTAGACTAAACTACGAAAAAGAATATTGACGTACACATGGCATTTCATATTTTTCTCGTAACTTTTTAATGGCGCATTTATGTACTCTTCGCTGCATGATATTTTAATCCTACTTTTACCTAGCCAGGACACACTGGCATTGTTTATACGCTAAAGTGCAGCACATCCTGTCCATCTAATTTTCTATAATGTTTTGGTAATTTGAGAAAGAGTTACGCAGATCAAATACAATTATATTATGATGATGTAGCGCGGTTCTTGTTTAGAATTAATTTACGATGCACTGTATCGAGTATCGCGTCGTGCCAAAACTTCGCGTCGTAATAGGGGAAGAAGTAGTGCGGTGAACCTTGAAACTCTTTATTTAAACAAAATCACATTGGCAGTGGAATCGTACTGCAATGGTTGTACATTGTCGTTACGTAGTTCAAATTTGATTTATTCTCGTCACAGATAGAGATTTAAGAAGTTCCATGTCAAGTACTGTATTGACATCGACGATTCACCTATAGACGATAATCTCTCTTTTATTTCAAACGTAAAAGTGACGATAAGTAACAATCGTTGCTTAAATCGAAATTCTTGCAATTGAAAAGGCGTTGAAGTACTTTAACGTTTTAATCTGATTAATTTAATCTATATATGTAGTATATTTTCGTGACTTTCTTAATCTACATTAATATCGTCAGGAAGATTGGTCTCATTTAGAAATTTCTACATCTCTGATTCGATATCTTCTCTCAAGTAAAATGTCTTCAGCTGCGAAGTAGAAAAAAAAACAGCTTTAGCGTATTATTAACGCTAATAAACGATCTTTTTCAAGTTTCAACGCATCTATCAACATGTTTGTCCTGAATTTTACAGACTGCGCGATATTAATTAAACTTTGTCCAGAAAAGATAAAAGTCTATAATCAGCACAATCTGAATAAAGTTCGATTAAAAATAACGCAATCCTCCTAATATTCTTATCGCGTCTCGAATAACAAAACGGAAAATTTAGAATTTGACGCCATTATCGTCTGATTATCATCTTTAGAATTCCTCGCTTTCGAATAAAATTGATTTTATGATATCGCGTCGTTATGTAAAAACTGGCAAAGCTTCTACTTTCTTTAAAATATAATATCGTGACTTTAGACTAGACATTGGTATTCGTGTAGTTCTTATCGATCTCGACGAACTTCAGTTTCTTTCGAAAGTGTTGTTTTATTAAAAATGTCCAATTATAATCATTGGTAAATCGATCGAATTTCTTTTGATACGTTATGGAGCACGGATACGTTCCGGGGGAGAATTTGGTAAACTACAAGATCTTGATTCGACAAATATTTTTGGGGCGAAAAGTCGATGAGAAAAGATTGATATTACTGTGGGTTTTCAGCCAGTAACCGTGGTCGTTCGCAGACCATGTTGCAAGCAGCACAACGAAGAGGAAATGTGCGTGCCAGCGATCTCTAAAAAGGCAATTAAGTAATTTCAATCCTTCTTTGCAACCAATTTCCAATTTTCGACGTTTTTTTATACTTGCGATTCTATCTTAATTGCTTCGTTGAAATCAAACAAGCAAACAAACAAACAAAAATTGAAAAGAGATAAAGATGACGAAAGGTATTAGTGGAGAAATTTTATTTTCGTTTGATTAACGATACATCAATTTTTCCAGAGACGTTAAATCTGATAGATCAAAGACACTGATTTTTAGGATTTTCATTACTCTGACCTTTTCATCTGTACCTTCTCGATATTACGATCTGAACTTTCTCGCAACTTCATGACGCTATGATTACGGCGTTTCGTATCTATCTTTCAATATGAAAAATTTTTATTGATTTTCGTGTCAATTTTGCTCAAGATGATTTTCACGCGGAAAGTTTCTTAGTTGTTCTCTTCCACTGCAAAGGAAAATGGCCTGCACTCGTATTACATGCGTTTTGCAAGACCCAACGCTCAAATCTGTGAGTCGCTATGGAAAGCTTCATATTTTTTAAAATAGCTAGAGTTAATTTCATCCGAACGTGCTACCTTTCAAACATAAGCTACCTTTCTTTCAGATTTGACAGATTTATCGGTACAGTTTAGTTTTATAAATTCGATTTCAATTTCCTCTATGTACCCTCTTCTAACAGAATACACAGTTTTATTTACGAACTAATCCTTTTTAAATCTTCAAGACTGTTTTGACATTATATAAAAACACACTTGTCTATTATCAGACAAGGTCTATAATTCATACGATAGCGAACACACTGTCAACGACTATGGCAGGATATGCAAATAACTCGGTACGTGACACTGGAAAATGGAGGATCGAATGTTACATAAGCATCGAAATGGTAATGTGGTGGTACGGTCTAGCAAATTATCGGAGGTTTCATAGAAAAAAAAGGAAACTCGAAGGAGGAGGAAGGAAACCGACAGAAATAGAAAAAGAAACGAGAGTTTTACTGTAACAGCGAGTTCGTTATCGCAAAAATAAGACCTTCCTGTTCGACGCCAATAATTAGCATTAGGAAGATAAGAGTAATTCTATCGTGTCTCGTAAGCAGATTAGAAATTCTATGGTATCAATTATTCTAAACAAGTACGGCTCATTTTTATGCTACGGAAGATTCTATTTAATTTATTCATTCGTTGCGAATTTGATAGTAAAGTGGTGAAGCATATGACACATGCGATATCTTATTTTTCTGAAAATAATCTTCTGCAAGTAGTTCGTTGTTTGTTATTTAGAATTAGAATAATAAATCTATGGAACGAAACGAAAACAAATTATTTAACGTACTGTTTGGACTGCATACATATAAATCATCTTCCAATACTAACGCAAAGCATATCGTTCTTTTATCTTTTAGGAACGCTATTAATTTTCAAATTTAACTCAGACTAAACTAAAACTAAACTGGTTTTTTAAACATAAAATATCATTTTAATCTCATTTTTATCGTTTCGAAGGAACGTCGTTAACAGTGAGCGTAGTTCTTCAAACAGCTAAATTTCAAGGATTAATTGCTCAAACGAAGGTCGAATTGATTTACTCCATTCACATTTTCTAGATCACGGAACACGTGAATGCCTAATGTTAGTCTTACGATTCAGTAAAAGATACTGATCTTTCGTTTAATTTACGATCCAAGTTTCATTATTTTCGTATTTCTATTTTCACGTTCTTTCATACGCGACAATAAAATATCGCGATAATTGCTAGTTCGAAAGAGCGACTTACACGGCTGTTCATCAATATTTTACAAAAAGAGAACATTAGTATTAAGGAAATGACGATAATTATTTAGAAGTGTGATCTCCTCGCCGATTTCGATGTCCTTAAAATATGTTGTCAATGTCATCGTTTTGGATAACTTTTCCCTTTTTATTTATTATTTAACAAATAATATTTTCCTACATAACTTCCTCCCAGATAGCTATTAACAATTTCCTAGATAAATAATCATGCGCAGTAGTACGTGATGATACGACAAACTGAATATTTAAATTATGATCGATGATATTCCATTTGTTACGAATAGACGAAAACATTATCACGAACAAGTCTGGTATTCTCTGTGTATTACTGGGAAAATTTCCTCGTAAAAAAATAAATTCATCGCTGCTCGATCTGTGAAACCTTGTATCGCGAATCATTTACAATTCTTTTTCTTAATTTAATCGTAAGATTAGAAAATTTTCCTCGTACGAGAGAGAATTGCTCGGTTATGCGAAATTTCTCATTAGCTACGTGTTTTTATATTTTTTATTGTACATTCGTGGTTTTAAAAATTCCATACTATCGGAAAGTCGTCAGATATCCGAAGGAGTAACTTTACAACCATCATTCATCGTTATATACTTATTTTATTGGTGTCATAATTCCACATAGAGATACCGCACAATATAGATCAAAGTAGATTTAAAGAGAAGAGCTGTTAATCTTAGTGACTTGTTTTGAAACTTATAGCAGTCGTAAATTAATTTACTTGCCTGTAGATATATTTTTTACGAAGCAAAAAGATAAATATGTGAATGATCCAAGTACCACGGTTGCGTTTCCTTTTGACACCGTAGTTTCGTAAATAGTGTTGAAAATATCCACGTATCGAGGGTTCAACGCTCTTTTGGTATTTAAGAATTTCACCAAGAGAAATGACGAATGGATTTCACGTCC